GAAGAAGAAGAAGAAGAAGAAGAAGAAGAAGAAGAAGAAGAAGAAGAAGAAGAAGAAGAAGAAGAAGAAGAAGAAGAAGAAGAAGAGAGGAGGGAGGGAGGGATGGAGGAGGGAGGAAGGAGGGAGGACGAAGGAAGGAGAGAGGGAAGACGGAGAGAAAGAGGGAGGTCACAACTCCCAGGCTCCCGCGGCTCACCGCCGCCCCTCCAGGCGTGTGGGCGGCTGCCGGCGGCGCCCGAGCCCGCGCTCCCGGGCTGAGGCGGGCACGGCGCCGCCCGCAGGGCCCGGTCCCCAGCGCTCCGCACCGCAGGCCCCGCTGGACCCGGCCTTCCGGCTCACTCACTCTTCATCCTGACACAGGCGTGGACACAAGCCTTTTTGACCCTAGAAGGGAGAGAAAGGGCGGCAAGCGTGGTGCCCTGCCTCCTGCCTCCCTTAGGAGCGTCCTCCGCTAGGACCGCGCTGGGACCGGGACGGCGGTCCCTCAGCTCCGAGCATCCCGAGCCGCCGCCACAGAGTCTCCCTGTCACCTAGCAACCGTCAGGCCCCGCCCCCGAGCGGCGGCTGCCACTGCGCGTGCGCACACGCCCTGCCCAGGCACGCGTGCGCAGTGCGGCCCGCGGCTGCCTGGTTGCCAGTAACCTTCGCGGCTTTAAATTTAAATCCAGTTTGAGGCCTTGGAGAGTAGGCGTCTCCGCTGACTCACTTTCCCAGCTGTCCTGGGAATTTCGGGATTTGGAGCCTGGGTAAGGGGGGATGATAGCCTTGAGCTCTAACGGGCAGGTGGGCCTCTCTGGAATAAGGTTTGTTTTTTTTGTTTGTTTTTTTGTTTTTTTGGCTCGGAATGCCCTCAGGGGTGGTTTGGCTGGCTGGAGTGTTGTGGGGATCGAACTACAGCAACCTGAGGCTGACAGCTTTGTGGAAGCTGCCACTTAAACATCTGAGCTAAGGCCAGGCCCCCCGGTGGGCCTCTCTGGCTGACAGCCGTCCCTTGACTGCTCCTGCTGTGGAGGGCTACCAGTCTGCTACACGGAATCACCCACTAAGTTTTTAAGCTTTTCTTTTTCAATCAGAAAACATTCATGTTGCCCCAGGCATTGTTGAAGACATTAGCGGTATAAAGAAGAAGAACGACGGGGAAGTAGCTCAGCGGAATAAGCGCTTGCCCGGCCAGCGCGAGGTCCTGAGTTCTCTCCCTGCCGGAAGGTGGAGGGGAAGCGGGGATATAAACAGCCGCGCTGTCGAGTGCGGAGAACCGGGGATTGAACTCGGGCGCTTGCGCTGGCCAGGCAAGCGTTTATTCTACTGAGCCACCTCCCCGACCCGGAGACAGACTTTTGTTTTCGTTTTTTCTTTTTTCTTTTTCTTTCTTTTTTTTTGAGGAACCGTGGATTGAACTCAGGCCCTTGTGCTTGTTGAGGGAACCACTTATTCCACTGAGCCATCTCCCCGGCCCCTGTTTTCGTTTTTTTGAGACAGAATCTCATTATGTAGTGTAGGCTGGCCTGGACTAAGACTTACTTTCTAGCATAAAGTTGAATGAATGAATGAATGAATGAATGAACGAAGAACTACTGTATACACAAAAGTGAGGACAGAGCCAACCAGCCAGTGATCAGGGCCTTTAGACTCCTGCAATAAATGGAGTAAATGGTCATTAATTTGGTTTCCTTACAACTTGATGAGACTAGGTATTCCTCTTTTTTCTTTTCTTTTTTGAGGGTTAAACAGTTAACCGTACTGTAGAAGGAAGAGTAGAAGGAGAAGGAAGGAGGAAAGAAGAAATGTGTGAAATTTGCACTAATCCTTTCAAGTCCTTTCCTCATCTCAGAGGCAGGCCAAGCAAGGTACCTGGGTCTTGGGGGGTCCCAGGAAACAAGAGGCCCCACGTGGGACTATTGGTCCCTCAGAGTGTACAACGTGTACTAGGATTGGTGGATACCAGAGCAGGGTCAGTGCTAATATGGGGCAACCCATGCCATTTTGTAGGAACCACTACACGCATAAAAGGGTAGGGAGGTTATACGTCACAGCCCAGAAGGCTGAGGTGACCTCGGGCACTTGCCCTGTGCCGGTGTGGCTCCCTGGTTGCTGAATGCATACGGGGTATGGCCATACTGACTGGTGCTCAGCTTGGCACCACGCAGGGGGAATTCCAGTTTCAAATTCTCATGGTAAAAACCATAGTCAGAGCGCCTGCATACAACACACTGCTGGCTCCTCAGGCCACTTGAGTTGTGTGCTTGCAACATAGACTGCCCGGAGGTCGCGACGCAACGGGACATACTGTTTTGAAGTCAGAAAAAGCAAGGATTATCAGCTGTTGGGATAAGAAAGAGTTAATATAGAGACTTGCTAAATAACCTGCAGGGCGTGTGGGAGGAGGAAAAAGAAAACTGGGCAGCGGCAGGCAGCTGCGGGAGTAACCGAGAACACTTGGAACTCAAGGACACCCTGTTTTTGTGTCCTTGCTCCCAGATGCTAGCAGGTTCTCACGTATAGCCTAAACATTAATCCTGGACACATACGATGGGATCGTATGTTCACCTGAAGTAACCGGAAGGCCGAGACTCAAGATATATAAAAATAAGGCCCGAAGGCAAGGCAGCAGCCTTTTTGTGCGAGCCCTCGCCTTGCATGCATTAAGTGTCCATGTGTCTTTGTTTGCGGCAGCGCCCGTGAGTCTTTCGTGGCAACAGGCCCTGCACAGAACCCTTCCGTGTGGCCTGCGCAGAAGCCAAGGATCGTGATGAATGACCATGAAGTCGCACCCTGACGCTGGCAGTCACGACCAATTTGTCTTCACCTGGGAAGGCAGAAAATGGACTTTCCAGACGTTGTCACAAGACTATTTTTATTGCCCAACTTCATTTAGTGGCCTGGTGGCACAGGATGATGATTTATGTTATCCTCTGATTACCTTGCAGATCTGAAAGCCACCATGCACAACCTGAAGGAAGCTTTGCTGGCATGGGGTGGGGGGTCATGGACAAAGACAAGGTCCAGGGACCTGGCTTGTCTGTCAGATTCATGGGAGTTAAATGGTCAGGTAAGACTAGACCCTCGACAGTACGCCACGTACAGCTGCATGTGGGCTTGCCGGGCTTTTGTCAGCTGTATCACACCTCGCTACCTGGTTGTGTGCTTTATACGAGAGGACCAAAAGGAACACGACATAGGGCTGGACGATGCAGTAGAAGCTGCTTGTGGGACTGAAAGAGAGCTATTGCACAGGTACAAGGCCCCCTAGGAGTTGTGGCCCCCAGCCTTCCATTTCTCTTAACCATCCCTGTGGATGACCACAGATTTGGCTGAGGCCTATGGCAAAAACACAGAAGCAGAAGCACCCTGTATGCTGCCTCTGAGGAATCACAGGATATAGAGGGCTGGGTGCAGCTCATCCCCGGAGGGGAGTGGCACAAGCCCCCACTCTCACACACTGGGGGACATACTTCCAACAGTGGGGCTCTTTCTCAGCTAGCACGTTAGCATCCTAACTGGTAACAGTGTGGCGACCTGTGTGGGAGGATACACTATAGGACTTGACCCCTAGTCCCCGTGCAGAAGGGAGAAAGAGACCTCTGCCTGATGCCAGGTGATGGGGACCACTAAGAAGCAGCTCTGAGCAGGATTTAAAATTAGCCAGTTGGCTTCCATGTTCATTTGTAAGTCTGTCCAAGGTCTCAGCCCCTTGTCTGGAGATGGGCAGTGGACTCAAAGTAAGTGAACCTCTGTGAGTCAGTGGTCCCAACTGACCAGTGGCGGCCTGTGATGCCATGAGGCCTCAAAGGACAAGGCAAGACCACAGCTAAGGACACCTGGCACCAACCCCAACTGACTAGGTCGAGACTGTGGCTGCAGGCATCTCTCTCCTGTGGTGAAGGCCTTCCTGGAGGTAACACAGTTCTCCTAAATTAACAATGAATTACTTGGAGAAGTCCTTGAGAAGTTCCTGGCTTGCTTCAGTATCCCCCTCTCTATTTTGATAAATAAATAAGACATCTGTCTCAGCCCCAGAGAATCTCAAATTCTGCTAGCAGGTTTGATCTTCTGGACCCCTCAAATCGTGCCACCTGATTCATTTGAGCCTTCCCATGTGCTCCTTTGGGAAGTTGTCGGCCTGCTCAGTCTGCAAAAACTTCATGATAATATTAACATATTAGCTGGCTATACCGATGGTACAGGTGTGACCCAACCCTGCAGGGGACAGCAGTTCCTGCCCAGCCCAGGACAGAAGTTCTCTGGTTTGGAACTGGAACTGACAGGCCAAGCCAGTGGGCAACGTTATGGGCGGTATGGCTGATTGCGATGCATACACAGAGCCCCCATATGTACACAGAGACAGTGGGGCCGTCTTGAAGGGGCTGATTCTCTAGCTGCCAGCTTGGGCAGCTCAGGAGTGAAGATAGGGCCCTGTCCTGTGTGGAGTGTCAACCTGTGGCTAGATGCATGGGAGTGTAACCAAAAAGCTGACATGTAGTGCATCAAGGTTCGGGACAAAAGTCCTTCTTGTCACCAGGAAGTAACTTAATGGATACTTTGACCAGGGATTGCAATAGTTCATTGCTAGGAATAGCATCTGACCACAAAAACTAAGTGCTGGTGCCTCTAGGAACAGCACCTGTCCAGGTGCAGGGACAACCCAGACTTCCACCTGGGTTCACGCTCCAGGTGGAAAGCCCTTGCTCCACACGTGGCCCAGACCTTGAATGTTACATGCCAGGCTTCCATACTGCTTATGCATGCAACTCTTCAAATGAAAAAAGTGTTTTTGGCGGGGGAGATAGCTCAGTAGCTTAAGCGCCTGCCTGGCAAGTGCAAGGTCCAGAGTTCAACTTGCAGTACCAAAAAACAAAACAAAACAAAAAAGTGTTTTTGCAGGGCTGGCCAAATAGCTCAGCAGATTAAAGTGCCTGCAAGAAGGCCCATGGGCTGGGAGTTCAATCCCTGGGGCCTGCTGTGCTGGCCCTGCCTCCAGGGTATGCTGAGACAGCAATTGAGACTGGGTGTGGTGGTGTGTGCTTTTAATCCCAGCTCTTGGGAGGTTGTAAAAAGGCGGATCACTATAAGTACAATCTAGTAGTGAGACCCTGAACACCCTGTAAACCCTTCCCTAAAATACAAAAAAAAAAAAAAAAAAAAAGTGTTTTTGCAAAACCACATGGCTCTTGGTTTGCAAACTGATGCACAGAGAGGCCCTGGCAGGGACCTACTCCTACTGCTCAAGGTTGAGGGGACACCTGAGGTCGAGACCTTGCTGTCTAGCACAGGCACATCAGGGTCCAGTTGTGTAACCGAACGAATGTGCCAACTGTACAAACACAAGACAACAACTGTAAAGAAGTCTACAATAAAGGTGCAGGTGGCCGGCACATCTCTGCGCTCTGTTCTGCTCCCTGTTGCCTGCTGGTGCTGCTGCTGTCTTGCGCGCATGCATTCTTTCACTTGGGGACCTCAGCTGTGAAAAACCTCCCTTGGGCCCCCAGGCAAGCCGAAAAACCCT